TATCATCAGGCATCAATATATCAAGCCATCGCATCACAGCATCATGCATCAGAAACGAACGGACATGGAATCGATCGAAGTGGATCGGTTGGTTGTGTTCGTTTTGAGAGCGTCGAGTCCACAGCTGCAGTGTTATATATGATGCATACAGCGATCACAGCGATGAAGCTTTGAGTCAAATTTGGGTTTGACTTTGTCAGAACACAGACCACAGCGTACAGCGGCGCAGCATTTACACAGCACTTCAAACAAGCTTTCGACTCAAACTCGACATGACGTGCGACAAAGAAAGAGATATCTCGAGTTAATGTATACATACGCGCAATCTCCAATTACATGAACGTGGATTGATATCAAATGATGGACACGAGCGCCACAAAAAGAATGAAAAAGGTTCTTTTTTTGGTACGAATAATGAAGGATACGAACGTTTCGAAGAACAAGGTCGAAGAGAGAATCAAAAAGGTAGAAAGAAACAAGGTATCGAAAAGAGAAATTTTTTTCGCACATAACATGGGATACGTACTTGACTAAATTTTTTTCAATCGGTTTTTTTTCTGCACTTCGTAAGAATAAATAATGACGAAATGAGGATTGATGATGGGGATTGATAATGGGATCGAAAATGATGGAGATGATGGTTGTGATGGGTAAAGGGGCGCAGCAGGCGGAAGCAAACGTCGGGTTTTAATCAATCAATAAAGAATGACGGGAATGACGTTGGTGGTAGGGATTGTCTGTCGTAATACAGAGCCACCGAACCACCGCACGCGAACGACAACAAGCACCGGTGACGTCTGCACGGTTCTTCTCGACTTCTCTCCTGATCGCATCCTGAGGTTCCGGGTTTACGCTTTTACGCCACGGACTTGGGCGAGTCCCTCGCATCCTGGTTGGCCGATTGCGGGCGGACAGAAGGTGGAGATGAAGGTCTGCCTCCTCCAGGACTCGTGCTCGACTCGCCTGTGTTCCGCCTCATGGGAGGGGTACTAGAGATCTGCTGTCCTTGCGAGGATCCCTGTCCTTGGCCTTGAGGAGGTCCCTGACCTTGAGCCCCTGGCCCTTGCTGAGCCGCAGTAGAATGACCGTGGCCGTTATGTTGCTGGGAAGAAGGGGGAGGCAGTGAAATCGGGGCAGAAGCGGTGTGTCCGTGACTGTGATGACTGTGTCCGTGGCTATGTCCATGGCCGTGTCCGTGTCCCAAGGGGGGAGGGGGAGGACCAGAAGAATCGTTAGGGTGCCAAGTCTGCAGGCCGGGTAAAGGGTTCATTTGATAGTCTCTTCTGCCATGGTGGTCCTGGATAGGAGCGATATGAGAGTAGTTGTTGTATGGAGAAGAAATCGGTGGGAGTTGGTTCGTTGGTGGAGTTCTGGACCTGCTGAGTGCGGTGCCAGTGAGTGGGCCACGTTTGTGAGGGAATTGTTCGGGCCGGGGCCGCGAGTGGGTTCGTTCGAATAAACCACACTTGTTACACAACTAGAGAGGATAAAGGTGAGAAAAGGAACGAGGGAAAAAAAAAGAAATTACTGACCACTTTTCCTGGACTGAGATTGGATCGTCGCCAGGTAGAGGTATCGGTGGTACAACAATTGAAGCATCTCCGACGAACGCGGTCGCTAAGCTTTGTATTGGCGTCGTCAGTGTAGATGCTGGCGACGGGGGCTTGGCCTGGTAAAGGGTATGGATGGGTATAAGCTTCACGGACGTGACTGCTCGGAATGTGTGAGACCGGGGGGATGGGAGCATGTGATGGGATTGGGACCGAGTTGTGATACGAAGAATGATTTGATCCGTCAGAATGGTCATAACGGTGATCAAAAGATGGGTGGGCGCTAAAACCGTAAGAATGGTTGATACTGTCCGTACGGGACTGAAAATGGGGTACAGAGTGGTGACGAGAGGAGTGGAGGATGACTGGGTCATGGGAGTAGTAAGTCGGGGTGTGAAGAGAACTTGGGAGAGGCTGAGGCGGGGTACGGCGGGCTGGGGGGGTGGACATTGCAGAGCGGTCCTGGATGATGGAAGGTGATGGAGAAGGGTTCAAAGTTGCAATCGGAGGAGGTGAAGGACGGCGATGGGAAATGTCATACGAGTCGCGACGGTGCCTGGAAGGGACGGTTAAATAAATAATAAAATTTTTATAGATGAATAAATGAACGGACTGAGCTGCCATTGAATATGCGTCGACGCGGGCAGGCATAGATGCTTTGAGGGGAGAATGAGGCGCGCAAAGAGGGGACGCGTCAGAGAAGAGTGATCGCGGGTCGTTTATAAGAGAGAAAGGACAGCGGGCGGAAACGAGCCAGTTCGCTTGGTTCAAAGATTTCAGACTCCGCTCTGCTTATCACGCTGGCCCTGCATCAGATCACTCCCCCGACCCGCTCTGAGCTCCCACTCTCTCCGCGGATCGTTCCGCTCGAACGTTCGTGCGCACACCGACTCGTAAACATATAAATTCTCCCTTCCATTCCATCCTCCCCTTCTAGCTTCTCTCCTTATCGTCGGCGGTACCTTCCATTGTGCCTGTCTGCATGACTCACTGCCTACCTGCCTATCCTGTCTAGCATATGTTCTCTCTCCTTCCTTTAAAAAACCTTGAAACCTTGCTACCTCGTGCTGAACTTTGTCTCCATCCCATAATTTTAGATCGCTATCTATTCGCTTTCTTCTTCGCTCCACCATGACGAATCAAGCTGGACGTCTTGGTCTGGACTCTAGAATGTGCCAATGCTACGTCGTTGCTATTTTACCAGTCTACCCCTTCCCCCCAGTGACCGCGTGCTAAAGACTAAAAACGTGCCAAAGAACGTGCATACTTTTCATATACCGCTTCTGGGTGCCACAAAACCAATGACGCATTGCACTCGGGGGACAAATCGTTCTTTCCGTTAACATCGTTCTATGACTGTTCCCTTAACGTATATGAGCTGCTATATATACACTTGTACACAGTTCTAATCACTGATATGGTACCTCTGGTGGCCCATGGGGGTGATGGGATCATATCCGGAATCAAAAACAAAAACAAAAAACATGTTGGTGGCAAGTGCCGAACAACACAGAAGAGAAGCCTGCGTGTGACCTGTGACACAACGTCTGCGTACGGTCCGAAGCTGCCGTCACTCTGACGCATTCGGTGTCCTATCTCTTGCTCAATCTGTACGGGATCGGATATAGAGACGTATGCCACCACCTCGGGGACGTCACACCACTACTGCGTGGTCAAAGGGAGGAGGAGGAGGGAGTGGAAGAGGAAGAGGGGCAGGGACAGGAGATTTGTCAGGCGTCCCGCCTAGACCTGCCAGTTCCCCACCTCAACCTGTCAATCCGAGCCCTATCAAATCGGGTAACAACAGGAAACAAACCAAAGGTCAAGGTCAGGCCGTCGTGCAGCCGAAATCCAAAGGGGTCGTACGGCTAGAAAAGCTTCTCAAAGCGTTTCATCATTCTTCTGGAGAAGCTAAAGACCCAAAAGGCGGTTGTTTCTGTTTAGGTGAGGATAAAGCTTCTATGAATGAAAAATGAGAGGTGTTCATCAATTGCGCGGGTGTATATATTTTTCCCCCTTACCTTCCACCGTTTTCATTAATAAAGCGAGAGACCACGCGTTGTCGAGTTACACCCCGATATGTCGAACATGTGGGTTCATTTTATGTTCTATGAACCACCCTCAGTACGCGTGCCCGTTTTGCTCTGGTGCAATTCTCTCTCCCCAAGAGAAATCCTCGCTCGTGGCCTCGTTAGAAAAGCAAATCCAAGACATCCTGGATAGGGAGGAGAGAGAAAGAGAGAAAGAAGTACAGGATGCGAAAAAGGCTGCTGGAGAATTTCCGACGTTGTTGCATTCGATGAAGGGTGGTCAGAGTTTGCCGAAGGAGAAAGAGGCACAGCATAAGGTTTTGTCGGTCAAGTCTATGACGACGAAAGGTGGGGCGAGTAAGGTAGTTGTTTCTTCACGGTCCTACTCATCCACGCCGGTCGGTTCGCGGCCTGCGTCGAGAGGACCGGATGCGAATAAAGAAGAAGAACCCGGGGAGCAGACGAGAGTGCCGCGTCCAGGTCGGGAACCAAAGCATGCTGATAGGGTTGTTGGTCCAGATAGACCTTGGGAGAATTTGTTGGATAAGAGCGTAACGTATGTGCCCGAGGTATCCAAGGCATAAGGCGCGGTGGTAGACGGGTTTGGCAGACGGGTTTGGCGCGGCCTCGGTTCTTTTACTTGCTTAGAAGTGAAGGGTGTTTACGGCGTACTTTTGACATCACATTACATATTTCTTCATTACAGAAAAAACCACCGTCAATAAAATAAATAAGAAAAAAAAAGGAACAGTGATGAGAGTGAGAGTACTTACGAGATGACAACAGCAACCTGCCATGGCACGCGCGCCGCATGGTTACAGACTCCATGCCAAGCGGCCGCATAAACAAACCTAGCTGGGCGGACCTGTCCTTCATTCCAGGTATAGAATCACCATTTGTGGGGCCCTCGTTATGGAAGCAAGAGTGTTTAGTGTGGTGATAGGTGACTTGGTTTGTTAGCGTACGTCGTAGACCTTATTGTTAATTCGGGGTAATCATACTTCTGGAAAAACCTGGATTATCGTATACGCGCGCAGCCACCTGGAGAAAGATCGAATTCGGCGTGGGGAAGGATTCATATAACTTGGAATGAAGAATTACTACTTGCCTAAAGTCGTTAGTCTTGGTCTTTTGACCCTTGTTAGGCGCCACAAAGGTGATTGATAGTTGATAAAGTGCAAAGTTGCTGTTGTGGTAATTATGGTTAGGAGAGGGGTTTAGTGGTAGTATGCACCCACGCCGATGGCGCCCGCCATTGGGAAACTGTCAGTTCGACGGGTAAGAACCGAGATTAAGTCGAAACGGGGCAGTGGCGCTGCTAAGATATTTTGTTCTCGCATGCCTTAGTTTTGGCGAATACTAGAATAGTAAAAAACCAAACTCACAAACTTGGATAAGCTTCGCGTAGATTATTGATGACGGCCCAATGGTCTAGTCGTATGATTCACGCTTCGGGTTTATCCCGGCTTCTTGTGGAGCCTTGAATGTGTGAGGTCCCGGGTTCAATTCCCGGTTGGGCCCTTTTTTTTTTCTTCCTCATGTGGCACCACATTTGTTTTGATGTCCACTTCGCTCTTGCCAGATCTACCACTCTCCCTTGATCTCACACAACACACGAGATGGACTGCTACTCAGGAAAATGCAATCCACACTTACCCTTTTGCGGACCAATTTGAGGGCGTGGACTCTGAACGCGGACATGAACATGAACAAGAGTACCAGGAGCAAGACCAGGCTAACCATCACGCCGTCGTCCGCGTTTATCTCCAGTTTCTATGGCTGCCCGAGGTTCGCATCATTCGTCTCTTACTTTTATAGTTCTGATCTTAACCGTTTATAGTCAATCATGCCACTATCATTATTTGTGCCTGCCATAGCTAATGCGAGCATGACTCTCTCGCCGCCTTCAAGTTCATCTTCCTCGCTGCATCCTTTGCACGCGCTCCTCGATCCGATGATCATGCCACCGCGTGCCGCCTCAAACAAATACCACGTTGATCTCCCTCAGATTCTCGCCGACGGCGGGGGTGCAGGCGAAATCGAAGAAAATATGATGTGGTTCGCGTTGAGCTTTGAGAAAAGCGAGGGTCTAGGTCAAGATGCTAGTGGTGGTGAAGATGAATCCGAGCCGTGGAAAGACGAGAAATGGAGAACAACATGGTTGGAACGGATGGAACGGCGAGAGTAAGTTTGGTTTGCTGCATATACATGCGATGGTAGTGGACTGACTAAAGGAAGAGTTCAGATACAGATTTTACTTCATTTTCTTAAACTGTCTCTGCCTGGTCCGAAGCCCCTTGACACGGAGGACGCGTCGTCGTCTTCAGTCGCTAGGATACGTCAACGCTCGTATTTGCCGGGGAAACAACGTCAACAGAAACCAGCCAAGGCACCATTGTCGACGAGGGATGCGCTCGAAGTATACATGGATAAAATGTCAACGTGGCAGCTTATGCAAGGCTTGGAGAGTGATCGTAGTCTCAACACGAAAAGTATGAACGGAAAAGACACTTCGACGAGCAAGGCCGACGATGAACGTGACTGGATTCAGATCTTTACGGAAGATGTCGTAGAAAAACAGTGCGTATCTTATTGCCCGACGAGTTCAAGCATCTGACGAAATACAGGTTTCGATCGTACCTACCAGAACTATGTGATCTCTTCCACGAAAAAGTGTTCCCTACATCGCCCGTCTCTGATATCAATGATGACGATGCCGACATCATCATGCCTATCCATTCCCAGCCCAGTACGCGGTCCAACTCACCTGCAGAGGGCGATCCAAACTCTGCTTTGTCACGTTCCATATCTACATCAAGTTCTAGCCTGTCTCGTTCGCGTTCCTTGTCCGTTTCTCTCCAGCAGGAGCGGGAAAGTCAGCGGGACGCTACGAATCAGCAGAAACGCAAGAAGAGAGCGTTGAATAGGGAAGTCAGCATGTCGAGGGTGTTTAGGGCAAAGTCTAAAGCGCCAACGCCTGCCTCGGATAGTGCGGGGATGGTGTTTGGACCACCGACAGGTTTGGGTGCAAAGGATAACTTTTCGAAGGACAAGCGCCCGAGTTACGCTGTAGCCAAAGGCAAAGGCAAAGCAAAAGCGGTGGATGAGAGCGAAATTACTCTGGTTGAGGCGACGCCTTCCTTGAACAGGACAAAATCGTTTTCCGTTGGTACTTCCATACCACGAGTGGAGTTGGCTTCAGGAATTGAGGGTGCCGAACAAGAAAATGTCGACGTGGACATGGACGTTTGGGAATCCGAGTTGCCAAAATCAAAAGACGTTATTATGGGTGCTGAAGGGACCGACGACAGAGACGCCGTTTTCGTCGTTGATACACCGACCAAGGTCAAGCGAAGGCCAGGGGTGACGAAATCGGCGGCGGGCGGGTGACAAACCTCGTGGCTCGTGGCGGTGAGCCCTGCCGTCAACCCTTTCAGGTTCACTTGTCACGATTTGGACACGAGGCGTTGGCGTCATGCTTCACACAGCCGTATAATGCACGTGTGTAGTGTGCATCCCTTGTCATACATATGTTATTTGACTCGTTGGGGTTAGAGAGCTGTGTTTGATAGGCGTACCTTGCTCATGGCTGATCTGGAATCTGTATACTGCCTTCTAATAGGATATATGATATAATGCGCTACTTTGGCGTCGGGCACTGTACACATACGGTGTACAGGATTGCAATTGGAGACGGAGTGTTGTGGTTGCGGGTATTGGTCCTACGATCGATAATCGAGGCGTTGAGGTGTACGCGTAGCATAGTACGTATTACATTGGCCTCGTGTTGGGTACTGCGCTCCGCCCCATGACGTATGCGTACACGTTGCAGCGTTTGTATTGCGATCAGTTCGTTATATCCGAATGCGAAGAGACCAAGAAAACTGTGTATCAGCCTTAACCACTTGGTATACGTGTATTCGGCGGCCGTATCCTTATCGCCTGTCGAACTTCCAAGTCAATGTACAGCTTCAAGCCCTTATGGATAAGCCCTGGCCCAAGCCAAAAGTCACGTCCAGAGTTTAGGTTCTGCACCACCAATATAAATTGGAAAGTAAGCTGCTACGCCGTATAAATTAAGTCATACTTGGTATGCAATGAGAATGCTGCCTGCTGCGCGGTGCCACCAAACATCCCTGAATTGCTGTTCAAGAGATTGACAGCATGAACGGCTGTGGAGCGCTGAGTAACTTGGATTCAAATTCAACTCTTTTGTCGGTACAGATTGAAGACCGACTCCAACGGGATAAATCGACAGAAAAATTCTAGAATTAGTGCGTAAGAAAGGACAAGACCAAGCAATGTCTGGCGGCCGCAATTCTGCTTTGTAAATTCCGTGATCGAGCCACAAGTCTTTCTTCGAGACTGTCTCCAAGACCCCGGTCTATTCGTTTTTTTTTCGATGGAAAATTAAGCCATCCCAAAAATCGGCGTTACCGGCTCGAAAATCGTACCAAAGGAAATATGATACGAGGCTCAGGGAGCTTTCTTTTTTCTGTCGTCCCTTATTTTCTCGTCAATTGAGTTGCCCTCCCAGGTCGACTGGCAGGCCTATATAATCGTAGGGACTGAGGGCCGTACTTGTCGGAGGCCGATGAGCTAAATAGGGATGTAGGTTCCTGGTATCCCACGTGTAAAAATTAAACAACTCGCATACTTATCTCTTTCTTGCTCCATGGACTCACGATGACTATCGTGAACGTCGCTGATATGGAGGACGAATGGCACGCGTCAGATAAGGATGTGGTCATAAGCAATACGAGGCGGGGCACGTAATGCTGTCCGTGAGTCAACGTGACCTGAAATTTGAGATTGTTGTCAAAACTAAATGGTAGGCGAGTACGCCCTTCTTCGCCAAAAGAGTGTTTCTGTCCAAAAAGCCAACCTACCACCTCAGATGCTCGTCCTCTGCAAGAGAAAAGACCCAGGGTAAATGAAAGCAGATAATTTAGGCTGACATGTTCTAGACCGGTCAGCGGAACGCGACTTCCTGATAAAATTCGCTCTCGCGCCGGACGAGTATGTAATCGAAGCGAGTTCATATTTCCGAGAGTCCGGAGTGTTTTCGTCCGAGTTCTCTTTGCTTTCGTCCATACCGTCGCCACGACGCCAATTCCGTAGTCCACATCCGCGCCTGATGAGCCTGATATTAGAGTTTAAGATCTATTTTTCCTTCCCTTGCATTCTTGACTCCTAAATTTATTTGAAACGTAAGTTCAGAGGTCTTGAATGGAAATATTACCCGAATCAATAAGTAAAATGAATGCGTGGTTCGAGCGTTCCAGCTAAGACTTAATGGCACTAGCAATATTTCCATTTCGGGCAAGTTGAACGCGTCACGTACTCGGCATTCGCCGTTGTCCCTTTTTGTCTGTCGATAAACTGGCAACTGGCATTTGAAGGTCGCCATTCAAAACTGCCTCCAATTCCTAGATCCCGGATTGCCCGACTGTCGAACGATCTGCATCCGGCCTTGCCATATAAGGTTGGCAGTTCTTTTGCCTAACTAGGCTAAAGGAATCTAGAAGGTTCAGAACGTTTCGCGACACCGGACGACTTCAACGACCGAATGTTATTCGAAAAATTTAAAAAATGAAGTTGGTAAGCCTTTCTCTCGCCAAGTTTAGACCGGTAACCGAACTGACTGGGATCGCAGGAGGGCCTCGGACCGGAACATTTTCCCGATTATTCGATTGCTACGCTTCGCCAAGTTTTCATTCCCATCCCATCCTAGGGTCAACATGTCGTTCCTCCAAGACGGCGCTACAAGAATCCGAAATGAAGTTGCGAGAACCCTGTTGTGGGGTTGAGAATGGAACAAACTCGGCGGGTGGTTGTTGAAGATCTGCATGATTATGATGCGGCCTGCGTTCTGCCGAAGAACAATAATAGGTACATGAGTCACCAAGCTTTGGACACGTAGGCGCTGATTCTTTTTAGCAGCCTAGTATTAGTCAAAGGATGACCAGAACTCGTCGGATTAGCGAATTGTGCTGACGCTGTCATCATCTTGACTCCGGCTGCGGGCATGAACCTCATGACTATTCAGGAGTTTTCCAGTCATTTGAACAAAACATGCTGCAGGAAGGCTCTGCACCACTCACCTCGTTTTGGTTTTACCTCCAATTGCTAGAGGCAAGACGGCGAGGACGTTTTGGGGGGCATGGAAGGACGAAGAAACTGTGCTAACTTAGATTTCCAAGCACGAAATCCTTCATTCCAATAAATAGATGGGAAGCCAAGGTGCTGACGGTGTTAAAGTCAAGTAAACTCACATCGGACCAAACCATAGGGGGTGAGCTGTTGTGAGAGGCGAAATCCCTACGATGCGAAAGAAGAGGAGAGGCGGTGGACGGTACCGAAGCTGGGAATTAGGGTTGCTTAGTTTAGAAGAGACATGGTATGAAAAATGGAGACGTCTAAAAAAGGCGAAGCCGACGACAAGGGCGGTGACAGAAAAGGAACTAAGGCTAGCCCCCTGTGGGGGGAGCTGTGCTCCCGTTTAGGAAAGATCGACGCGT